TATACTTGTACGAATCAAACAATTTTGCACCTTTTCATAATATCCATTTTTCCTAAGATAATTTTTCGTGAAAAGTAATTTTAATAATTTTTTTAAAATTTAATTTAATTTCTTTTTCTCTTTTTTTAAATTTGTTTTTACTTTTAATGGAAACTTTTTTTAAATTGTAAAGGTATATGCATTTTTATTTCCTTTCAAAGTATATTATTTTAGATGACAAATTACAAAATGTGAACAAAATGTATTGATGAGGATATTTAGTTTTTTACTATTTAATTCAGAATTACTATTATTATTATTTAGGATCGTTAAAATTTCGGTATAAAAATTACTTTACAACAGCAACAATAAAATAGTAATCTCCTTTTTTTTTTCTCCAGAAAATCTAGTTTAATGAAGGATGTTAGGACTCCCTAACAAAAGGTTAAATGTCATTAAAAATTGGAAGAAAAAACAATTTTATAAAAAGAAAAATTATGTAACAAATTCGTAAAAGTGTTTGTTATGTCATTTTTGTTTGCATGCAACCCTAACGGAAAATGAATCAGTTCCGGAAGATTTGATCGAATTATATGTGCGAATAATAACGAATCCTTCACGGATTACAGTTTTTTGAAGGAGATGTAAAAATCAATTAAAAATAAAAACACTTTGCAATAAAACTGTGTCTGGCTTATGTGTTCTAGTGATATTTCTAAATTGTGTTTCTTATACCATTGAATTATTTCATTGATCCCTATTTTATGTAACCCTAATATTTATTCTACGGAAAAGAAGAATCAGTTCCGGAAGACTTGATCGCATTTTTAAGGTCATTTCAAGGGCGTTAATGCGTTTTTGAAATGAGAGCTAGACGATTTTAATACCAGAAAAATAATTAGAATCTTTTTAGTATGGGAAAGGAGTATGTGGTTATTGCACAAACGGGAAATTTGTGACTTAATAAAGACCAGTTGCTTCATAAATTTGGATAAGAAAAACCATTAAAATAATTTTTTAAATTGAGTAAAAATAAAATTATAATGAATTACGTTTGTTTTCAATACATTGTGCTCGAAAGTGATCCATTTATTATTATGTTTTCGTAGACGGCGATGATATGTTGCATAAAATTGTAAATTAGATTTGAAAATATGCTAAAAGATCAGAAATGAAAATTTCGTTAAATTTAAAACTCTTTCTTAAAATTAAGAAAAAGATATCTGATTTGATTTAAACGTCCAAATGCAAATTTTATTTCGCAAGAAATCGCAACAGAAAAAAATATCTTAAAATTAAATAAAATTTTAAAAAGTGGATTAAAAAGAAGACAACTATTAAAATTTTGATACACGTTCCAATTTTTTTTGTGTTCCAAATTTATAGTTTAAAACGCAGTTGCACAAAATTCGAATACTTTAGTTAGTTAGAAAATGGATAGTTAATTATGGATAATACAGACAATTATTAAAATCGAAAAAAAAAAGATTTTTTTAAGAAATATATCTCAGATTAACATTTTAAGATAGGACAAGGGGGCTCGGCCTCGCACACAGA